AGCTCCAGGCCTCCCGTCCCTGCCCAGGCCATGCGGCCGGGCGGGGATGGGGCCGGGCCTGCCCCGTCTCCCGGCCGGGAGATGGGGGGGCCTGGGGAAGGTTTTCCCCGGGCCAGGCCGGGCCGAGCTGATCTCTGGCTCGGCTGCAGGTTTTGCTGTAACTAATTCACTAGAAACTGCCCAGTGAAGAAAGAGAGAGGCTCTGGACTTGCAGCGGGTTGGAGCAGCGACTACACACTCCAGAGCAGCCATGAGGAACTTCCCATCGCAGACGGCTCCAGCTCCTGTTCGGCAGAGATCCTCGAACCATCTACAAAAGCCTGGGCAAGATGTTAACTCTTTCATTACCCAGATGAGACTTGCGGATTAATCTTTTTATCCAGAGAGAGAGAGAGAGAGAGAGATCAACATGAAAAGAGACTTTATAAACTACCAGTGACAGGAAAGAAAAGAAGCTTCAGGAAAGGTAGAGAATTAAGAAGATGCTTTAATTAAGCTGAAATATCTCCCTGTTAAAACTATGGAGATGGACAATGAAGTCCTGAAAAGAACTCCTTTAATTCATGATATAAGATCTAGAGAGGAATAGTGTTCAAAGTGTAAATTTGAGTAAAGAGTAATTATAGTATAGTGAAGTACTGGGAGATTAAAAGCCTTGAGAGGCCATGAGAAAACTGTTGGGAGATTTGAAGCCCTGAGAGGCCATGAGAAAACTGTTTTCTGGTGAAGCTCACAGAAACAGATGAAGAAGACTTTTTTTTGCCTTTGAATAACTTATCCTTAAAAATGCTATCTCTAGACGCATGGCCCATACACACTTCAGAGTGATGTGAGAATGGGAGGAGTGAACTCTAATAATAGCAGCTCTGGACAGCTAACATTAGGGCAATAGAAAACTATAACAAAAATAGTTTTCTTGTGAGAATCTCCATAAATTAACAGGAAGAAACTTCTGTTTCTCTATAAAGACTGGTGAACATACTAGCAAGAATTGGGACTGTGTTAACCATCAGAGTTCCAGAGTTTTTGTCTCTGTTGTCATGTGAACAAGAGAATAGTGGGTGGATAGGGGATGGAAAGGTTTTTCTGGAAGTTTATTCTGGTGTTCTTATTATTGTGGTTTGTCAATAAACTTTCTTTTTTTTCCCTTTTAAGTTGTATGCCTGTTTTGCTCTTATTCTAATCCATATCTCACAGCAAGAAGTAAGTAATTTTCTTAGTTAGTGGTTTAAAACCACGACACTCATGTTCTTTGCACAATAATTATATCTAATCATATCTAACAATTGTGTCATTTATCATATACTGATTACACGGGTGCAGTTTCATATGATCTTTAGCAAGCAGAAGCTTGCTAAAGCCTTTTCCCAGGCTTGCCAAGCGTAACTTTCTTTCTAAGTTCCCAAATTTTCTAAGATTTTAAAACCTTTTACTATCAGCTGCAAGGGGTTCCCATGGTGGGGAAAGGGCAGAGAGAGAGGGTATAGTTCCATTGTGTCCTGAGAGCGCCTGGCTCTGTCCCCTTGGGCTGCAGGAGCTGTCCCAGCTGAAGGAGGGAAAGAGGGAGGGCAGAAGGGAGGTAGGGATATTTTTGCCACTGCCAGCTGCAGATTTGGCCAGGGCTTTAGGGAGGGTTTCCTCTGTGGCAGTGAGAGACCCCATGCCTTAAGCTGGTCCTGTCACCCCACCAGGGATGTTGCACAGAGCATGGAAAGAGGGTGGAGAGTGATCAGGAGCCAGCCCACAGATCCCCAGGACCCTCTGTAACTTTTGCCTTGTCCATTGAAATCTCGCTCCCACATCCTTACCCGACCCCCTTGCAGTGCCCAGTTCCCTAAACTGAAGGATTAGAAGGGATCCCAGCACACCATGGAATGGTTCTTTACTTCCTTCCAGATGACGGTAGGAGGAAGGCTTATCCAGCAGTTTGGCTTCATGAAGATTTGCAGCCTCTGAAGCATTTTGCAGGTACATCACTGTACAAACAAGGAATAATCCTGTACAACCCAGCAGAAGCAGGTTGACAGAAGTTTCTGTGGCTGTTTAGTTACAGGTGTGTCTGCTGGGAGGAATTTCCCATCTCCTTTCCTGGTTGCTGCACACAAGCCCAGCTCCCATCACAGGAGTGAGTAGTGTGCCCCTGCTGACCCCACAGGCTGAGCACAGGTTTGGTGGGATGCATTCATCTGAAATGGAAATATTTTCTGTTAAGGTCCTCCTAGAGGGAGGAACAAACCTACAGAACATAGTAAGTCCTTGGAGAAATCCAAACACATGGACAAGATGCTGAATGATCTGGAGAGACGCCATGGTGGGTCCATGTCCTTCAGCCTACATCTGAGACTCAGCAGCCGGGGGCTTTCTCTGCACCTCTGGATAAGCCGTGCCCGGCACAGCAGGAAGGGATCCATGGCAGACTCGCTGCCCTGCTGCTGCTTTCACGGCCTGCAGGGCTGTTTCCCAGCCTGACCTGGCTGCAGCTTCTCCCCAGCCTCTGCAGGAAGGCATTTGGCATCAGCTGACAGGGAGCCCAAACTGCAGCACAGGCCATGCACACCCTGAGATCCCCTGCAATTTCCTTATCTCTGGGTAGATCAGGTGTAGGGGCTGTTTCGGGGAGGGAGGGCCCAGGAGCAGCCCCAATAACCTGGCCTTTCTCCTGATCCTTATCCATGACTTTGACAAGCATTGCCTCTTGAAGATGCCACTTCCACAATGGCAAATGGTTCCATCTGATCCTGTTGTACAATTTTCTTTTTCCAGAGAAGGACAAAAAAGCTTTGTTGAAGGTGGTGTTTCCCGGAGGAAGCAGTGGCTCATTGGCAGCCTTTACCGCAGGAAAGGAGGCCATGCCAGGCACAGTCCCGGGAGGTAATTGCTGTACCCCTGGGCCTGAGCCCTGCTGAGGCTTGAGCTGCCAACACTTGGCAGTGCCTGCCCTTCAGGGATATTGTATAGAGCATGGAAAGGGTTTTGAGAGTGATCAGGAACCAGCCCAGAGCTCCCCAGGATCCTCTGCAGCTTTGGCCATGTCCACTGACATCTGGCTCTCACAGCCTTACCTGACCCCCTTGCAATGCCCAGTTCCCTAAAACAGAAGGGGATCCCAGCACACCATGGTATGGTTCTGATCTCTGCTCCCTTCTGGATTGGGATAGTGACATGGAATATCTGGAAATGCTGGTAAATGGTGGTTTGAAGACCTTGACAGAGGCTGGAGGCAAGTTCTCAATGTTCCTTTCTGCACAGTATAATCAGTGTCAGTGTGGCAAGAGCTCACTCACATGCCATTTCCCTTAAGAGTCTGAAGGTTGATGGATTGTGGAAACCTCACCCTGCTCCCTTCTGGAGCCCTGAGTGATCCCACAGCATCGCTGTCAGTGGGAGGAAGGAGAATTTAGATGTCAGTTGTCATGTGCAATGCCAGTCTCTCCTTCCATGTGCTCTGTGCAGCCATGGAGAGGAGCAGAGAGGGAAGGAGCCAGGCCCAGGGCTGTGCCCTGGGGCTGTGCCTTATGCAGCTCCTTTGCTGGCCCCAGGGAGCCTGAGCTGCTCCTGCTGCCGCTACCAAGCCCTGGCCCTGCCTGAGGCTCAGTTCAGAGCTGCTGGCAGCTCCAGGGTGTCCTTTCTCCCCTGACTGCCATGCAAGGGGCTCCTTCCATCCCAGTGTGGGGCTACTGCAGGCACATGGTCCCCCTGCCCCTGCTCCTGAGTGGAAGGCAGCGATGAGGGAGTGCCTTGGAGGGCAGCAGTCACCCAGGTGCACTCCCTGCCACTCCAGACCGAAGGAGAATTCTCAGCACAGTCATGGGAGCTCTTCTGTCCTGCCTTTCTTTGCAGATCAACCTGATGATGATGATGATGATCTGGATTCCCAACCCATATCAGTTGCTGAGCCTGGTGATGAGGAGGCTGATGAGGGTAGGTCCAGGCCTTTCCCCCAGGGAGAGCGGCCAGCTCAGAGCCCAGAGCTCAGTCAGGGCAGCATTGCTGCAAGTGCCAGGACAGAGCCGTGCACGTGTGTGCCCTCGGCCTGCGCGATCCCCTCACCTCTCCTGCAGCTCAGTGCTGCCTGTGCAGATCAGCAGAGATGACAGAAGCTTCTGTAGCTGTTCAGTTACAGGTCTGTCTGCAGGGAGGACTTTCCCAGCTCCTGACCTGGATGCTGCATGCAAGGCCAGCTCCCACTGCAGGGGTGAGTGGTGTGCCCCTGCTGACCCCACAGGCTGAGCTCTGGTTTTGTGGGATGCATTCCTGGGAAATGAAAATACTTTATCTTAAGATCCCCTGAGAAGCAAGAACAAACCTATAGGACATAGTAATGTAGCAATGGAGAAATCTGGAAATAATCCTGAGTGATCTGGATGGACAAAATGGTGGTTCCATCTCCCTCAGACATCTCCTGAGGTTCAGCAGCCGGGGGTTCTCTCTGCACATCTGGACACGCCATGCCCGGCATAGCAGGAAGGGATCCATGGCAGCCTCGCTGCCCCAGTGCTGCTTTCATGGCCTGCAGGGCTGTTTCCCAGCCTGGCCTGGCTGCAGCTTCTCCCCAGCCTCTGTAGGAAGGCATTTGGCATCAGCTGGCAGGGAGTCCAAACTGCAGCATGGGCCATGCACACCCTGAAATTTCCTGGTCTCGGGCTACATCAGGTGTATAGGGTGTTTAGAAGAAGGAGGGCCCCGGAGCAGCTCCAAAAGCCTGGGCATTTTTCTGGGTTTTATCCATGTCTTTGACAAGCATTTTCTGAAGAAGACCAGCACAGCGCAGAGGAATTATACCATGCAAGCTCAGGGGTTTGGGTACTGAGATGTCCTGTGCGAAATGGGGTGGCAAGGTGCATGCAGGCCAGAGCTCTGGGGCAAATAGAGAACGTCCTGCCATATCCACCGTGCTGCCAGCTCAGCAGCAGAGCACAGCATGGACTCATGCTGCCCATTGCTCCCACAGATTCAGCCGGCACCACAACTCATGCTCAGAATATCTGGGAAAGCATGAGAAGAATTTTCAGCCCGGGAACACATGGTTTGATTAAGCTAATGGCCATTGCCATTTTGGTTGCTGGAGCCCTTTTCCTGATGATGTGCTGTGCTGGAATCTGGTATTGTTGGAACAGAAAAGGGTGAGTGTTTTGCTGATCTCTACCTCAAACAGCTTCTTGAAAGTCTGCTCATAGTCAGGAAACATTCCCAGTGAGGCTGCTGTGGACTTGTGGCTAGTCCTTGGTTGCCCAAAGAAATCTGCTGAGGGTTCTGCTGCTGCTCAGCCCTTTTATTGGCCTTTTAATCCTGGGCCTTGTCCTTGGGAGCCTGCTCGGGCTGCAGCCAGTGCTGGCTGCCCACTGAGGCTGCCTGGCCAAGAGCAGCCCCAGGAGCAGCAGGCAGAGGCAAAGCAAGGTGGACAGGGGAAAGAGCAGGGACAAGATTGCCCTTGAAAGGCAGAGGCGTTCTGGGGCCTGCTCCTGGCCAGGGACCCTGCCCAGAGCCATCCCCTGCTCGCCGGGGCCTTGAGGGGCAGCTCTCCAGCTGGGCCAAGCTGTGCCAGCAGCTGCAGCCGTGCTGGGGAGCCTTGGCCAAGCTGTGCCAGCAGCTGCAGCCGTGCTGGGGAGCCTTGGCCGCTCTGGGCCCTGCTGTGCAGGAGGGTCTCTGTGTGCCAGTGGCAGCTGGGGGCCTCAGCCATCTCCTCTCTCAACAGGAGCACATCTGCACCTTCAGAAGACCAGCCAAAGACTTTAGTCAATGAGAAGTTGACCAGTCTTTCTTGCTCTTTACCTCTGAACCTATCTGTGGTCCTGGTGCAGCCCTGTCTTGAGGGCATCACAATATCCACACCTCCAAAGCCATACCCTCTCCCCCTGAGCCCCTTGGCCCTGCACCCTGGCCAGGACTGAAGGTGGGCAGCCCCTATCCACCAGAGCAGGCCTTGGCCCATGTTTTATTTTCAAATAAAGAAATGAAACTGTCACCCCAGTGTCTGGCTGGTACCACCAGTAAAGCCCACATGGCACCAGCCCTGTGTCCAGGAGCTGCCGGGGCTGACCACGGTGTGGGCAGGCAGGAGCCAGGCAGGGGCTGCTGTGACCAGCAGCGGGGCCCCGAGGGGCTGGGGGAGTCCAAGCTGAGCGTCCCTGGGCTGAGGGCACATTTCCTTCAGTGGCATTGAAGCAGAGAAATTAAGAATTAGGAATTAAGCATAAAGAAATGCTTGACCAGAAGATGGCGGGGTTGACCACAAAACCATACCCTGCTCCACAAGAGCAGGGAAAGAGCGAGACTGCAAGATAAGATACAGAGCTAGAATACACAAACACGATGCAAAGACAAAGGCACCACAGGATAAGGGGATTCTTTGGACCTCCCAGCCGAAAGGAACGGTATCGAAGTCCAAAAGGTGGTCAAAGGACTAAAAGGAGCATGTGCGAGAAGACAAAGTGAAAAGTTCAGCTCAGAAGAAAATTGCTGACCTGATCCTAGAGACCCCCCCCAGACAACCACCGAACTGACAAAAAATGAGCAGTATGAAGCCGCAAAGGGGCGTGAAGCTAATTTTAATATGAAGCGAGGACTAGCAGGGTTAGGGGAAATGAATATGTATTAGGCATATTGTGCAACCCTAGTTTGTAAAGGATAAAAAGAGAAAGCCAAATCTTAAAAGTGTGCATTTTTTTGGAGGAGATATCCCCCATGAACCTCATACGCTGAATAAATTCATAACTACTCTGCGAGTTATAGAATTTTTCTATCTGCATATCAGCATCACCTGGGCCTGCACCTCATGAGGCACACAGGGCTAATTTGGACTCTCTCCTAAGGTGTGCAGTGTTCCCACATGAGGTGTGCAGTAGGGTTTAATTGAGAGGGTTTTATACCCTTCTCAGCACAGCAAAGGGCACTCTTGGCTGAGGTTTTACAAAGCTGGGAGGAATCCTCTTGCGAGCTCTTGGGCCTTGCCTGTGGGCACAGTGGGCAGGTAAAGCCCATCCCTTGAGGCCAGTCCAGGCTGCTCAGGCCGGGCTGGGCCAGGTGAGGGCCCTGGCAGGGAATGGCCGCAGCTGTGAGGTCTGATGAGGCTGCCAAGCTTCAGCCTGGCCCTGTGCTGCAGCCAAACACACATTTACAGCTATGGCCATTCTCTGGGGCACAGGAGGCACCCAGGGGTATAACTGAGGCCGTGGTTTCTTACCTGAAGGGAGGCTGGCTCTCTTGGTTCCGAGGGCACAGCTTCAATCCCAGTTACCTTTGTGAACCTGCTGGGGAAGTGTTGAGGGGCAGCAAGTCCCAATCCTTCTCACTGGAAGTGTGGCTAATGCTGTGGGGTTGTTTAATTCTTTTTCCCTCTGAATTTGTGTCCTAGCAGAGGGTTAAGTTTGCTTGCTCTCAGTAAGGGCCTTTTCTTCTTGGTGCTTGGGTGGCTGCAATGCAGCCAGGATTGAAGGAGGATCTGAGGTCTCTTGTGCCCTGGTAGTTGATGCCTTGGCCTCATCCTTCTTTTGGCTGTGATTTGCAGGGATTTTACAGGGATTGTGCAGGCATTTTACAGTAACCAGCTTCAGTTTGTTCATCTTGACACCAAAGTTGGGAATAAATCTCTTTAACACCACAGTAGTATTAAGAGTCAGGCATTACTTTCTTGAAGGTGCTGCATGCACAGGCCAATGGGATCACAGGATCTTCTTGGTTTGGTTTTCATGTTGTCCACGTTTGGTGTTGTGGCCATTGAAGAAGGAAGCTGATGCTACTGGAAAAAAGGATTGTTTTCCACTTGTGGGAAAGTATAACCTCTCACTTCCTCATCTCTTTCTATACAAAGTTATACAGGCAAGTGCATTCAAATATCTCTATCTGACTTTATCTATCTATCTATCTATCTATCTATCTATCTATCTACCTACCTACCTACCTACCTATCTATCTATATTACTAATCTATGAAATATTTCTATGCATGAGATTTTATTTATTTGTAAATATGACACATCTATTGAGAGCTGGAAAATAATACCATCCATCTTTGATATAGCAAAGCCTGGGTTTAGGAGCACACATGAACTGTGATTTCTTTCTTGCTAGACATATGCTGGCTTGTTTAGACAGACTTTGAACTAAAATCCTGCAAAGCTGGAAAATGGCTGGTGGCCATAGCTGTTATACCTTTAAAAGTCCTTTTTTCATTTTAATTTTTTTCTTCTGTGATGGTCCATAAATTCCTTTCTTCCTTAAGCTGTGTGCTGGGAATATTGAAGGTAGAAAATAACATAATACTGCATATTTTAGATACTTGAGAGTTTTCTTGTGAAATTTTATTTTAGTATCTTCTCTCTAAAACCCCCTCAGAACTAAATCAGCAGGTGAGCTACTGAGCACAGCACAATTTACTTCATAGCTGCAGCTCATGTTTCCACAGTGGAAGTGGCTTTTTGTTCTTCTCCATGTGTATCAAATATGGCAAACAGCCGCTTACAGAGGAAAGAGCCTTGTTTTGTGTTGCTTGAACTTTGGGAAGGTGGTAGCTGTTAGATCAATGCTCAGCAAACTGCCTAAATTACTTTTTGTGACTGCTATCTGGTGAATTTGGCCTGGCTTCTTTAGGAGGTTCAGTTTTCATTTAGAAATAGCATGGGAACACTCAGTGTGTTCCTGTGGAGCCAGTGCTGACGCAAGACACATGGAGCTGGGACAAACGGCACATTGATTTTCATCTCAAGAAGCCACCTGAGCTCCTCATGACAGCAGCCCCATGGACTGGTAATGGATCCATTACAATTAACTCGGTACACAGCTTGGAACTTGAAGCTCTGACATAAGGAGCTTGTTCAGTTCTGCCATGGAGGAAGGGAGTTTGAAGGCAAAGAGGTTTAGCAAGGAGGTCCATGCACAGCAAAGCTGTTTGTACTCTAGCAAATGAAGTCTTAGGATGTAAACCCTCATCCATCCTCGGTTTTACCCCTCCATTTAGCCAAATTCTTGGTCTTAATTCCTGTGACAATAGGAAAATATGACAGAGAAGGGTCAATCCTCCTTGGCTTCTTGAGCTGGCCAGCTTGTAATCTCATCTTCTGCCACAAATAGGAACAAACTAGAATTTTGTTATGAAACCACACTTTGTGTTTGTTTTTGGCCAGAAGTAACTGAGATTCACTGAAATATTTACAAGCCATAAATGATGGATTTATTGTAGTTGCTAAATTATTTTAGATTTTACAACTTTTCTGCTGCACAAGAACCTGGCACTTGAAGAATTTTGCCCCATGCGCTTCTCCAGTGCTTCTTACAGAGAAATACTTTGGGACTAGTCAGGACGGGTGCCACATTCATGTGTGTTTTTTGGAGCCCACAGGACAGGGAATTCTCTTTGCTGTGGGCACTGGCTGTTATTGTAACACCTGCACCATTTTTTCTACTGTAATTCTGTGAGAAAAGTTGTTCTTTGCCATAGAGATTTTTAGTTGACATTTTTTATCTTGAACAGCCAAAAGTTTTCCATCTCACAGGTTTCTGACGCTGATTTTTTTCCTTTCCAGTCTGTTGTTGGCCCTTTCAGGAAAAAATTCTTAAAAACGAGATTCACTTAATAAATTATAAAAATAATTTAATATAAACAAAAGACAATTAGGAGACAAAAGAAATAAAGCAAAGGGTTAAAACGGCCAGGTGCCCTGGCGCCTTGCCGGGAACACAGCTGGTATCTTGGGATCACTCCCTTTATCCCCTCCTGCTGTGAGGATTCTATGCATATTCAAAAACATGTCCCCTCCCTAGTTCCACCTTCCTAGAATATGCTTTTGCACAATCTTTATTTTCTGCTGGTCAGCGCTATCCCTGCTGGTCATCATTATTCTTGCTGGTCAGCATTATTTGAAGTTTGGTTTCCTTTCTTTTGCAAATGGTCACTTGCTGATAACCATCCGGGACCGTCATCCTTCCCGCGAGGGCAGCTGGGCTTCATATCTTCTGCTGATAACAGTTTGAGCTCTATTGTTCTCCTGATAACAACTTGGGCCCCAGTGTCCTTGCCCTCTGGGGTTTCCTTGCCTTGTACCTAGG